CAGACCAGAGAGCAATGGGCGGGCGAGGTGACTGCCTTTGCTGCTGCTTTTGTGTGCATCTGCACCTTGCCTTGCCCCCTCTGTCTGCTGCCCCTCCTTGGCCTTACGCGCCACACCCTCGCTACTCAGCCATGTCTGCACTCCAATCCCCTCTCCCCGTCCCCACTGCCCTCATCCCACTTTCCTTCTCCTTCACTCCTCCCTTATTGGCCCTTCCTCCCCCCCGCATCCCCCTCCTCTCGCGTTCCCCATGTCGCTCCTCCCTACCACCCCTCTGCTTCAGCGTCATCCCAGCTGTCTATCGCGCTCCTTGCTCTCCCTGCCACGCCACTCCAAGTCTAGTGACTATTTTATGTTTTTGTGTGCCGATTTTCAATGTTTGCATTGTGTATATGCTATAGAGAGACCAATTACCACTTTGTAATGTAATGTAGTTTTTCAGGTTTTGTGGTGCTTCAAACGCATTTCTTAGGTGTCCGCGCGACCGACACCCATTTTGTCAGTTTTCGCTTGATGCCTGGATACAGCCATGTCAGCTACATTTGTCAGCTGATCCGCCAAGTGTCAAAATCGATGGCAGATTCATCCAACAAATATAGGCTTTGAAGGAACGCCGTCGATTTTTGCTGTACACACGATGTCCGTTTGACTAACCCAAGGTTGCCTTGTGAAGGGGGCGCTTAAGTGATTCATGCATTTCGTGGAGGTTTCGTCAATTCGCGTCGGGCAAAAAGGGCTTATAGCAAAATTTTGTAACTCACCGTTGACTGTTTGACTTCGGTCTCTTCTGTTTCTGTGGTTCGTATTGGTTGACGTGCTTGTAACGTGGGTGCAACTGCCCGGGAAAAAACCTTCGTGTGCAAGGTTTCTGGAACGTGCGAGGCAATTTCGCGTGCAGGGGTTGGGCATCTTGTGTAACCCCAATCCACACCGCATCAACCCTGCATGAGAGAAGTCGGTCGAAGGAGCGCAATTCCAGTCACCGACATGCAGCCACTCAATCTGGTTGCTTTATCCAATGAAAGCCACGAATTCTGCCAGGTTGGCTAAACATGAAGCGTCGCTGTTGGCTGGAGCTCTTGCGTGCGGTTTGCTCACCCGCCTTCTCTTCACATGGGATGGGACACACACGCGCGCACCAGATAGGTTTTTGCAGTAGGCCGGCCTCTCCCCCTTTCCCCTCAGAGGTCTGGCCGCCGAAACAGGGCTCCTAGGGGGGTTCCTCGTAGAGGAGTATCTGCTGATCTGAGCCGTCGGATAGGCGCTCTTGCTCAGACGGGCAATTTGTCTTCCCAAGAAAAACCAAATCAATTTGTTCGCTTAGAACGAAGGGCAAATTTTTAGAGAAAATAAGAGTTCAGATTCGGATTTCACAGGGGACTATGGCTACACCGCAATTGACAACAAATGTGTTTGTTTTTCTCACGGGCCAGTTGCCCAAATTCTGTTCTGGGAGGCACTCCGCCCATCAGCAACCGCTTCCGCGCTATCAAGCTCCCGCCAGAGGAAGGCGAGGGGGACGCGGTGTGACAAAGAGGCTAGGGGACACAAAATCACCAGCAAAAGATGCTAGGGGACCCATCAAAGGGCAAAGATCATATTGGGGCCGGAAAATAGCAGGGAGGTGTCCAAATTAGGGCCGGGTAAATCCTGACCGTTCGATACATCCCCGTAGCTGCCCATGTGGCTGGGCCGATTACCCGAACCGAGATTCTGAGGAAATTACTAAGGAAGCGTCACAAGTAAAATATCGAGGAAGGATCAGGAAGTTCACCGAACCTGTCAAACCGATCGCCATATCGGTGTGTCACGACTGCTTTGAAGTTTCAAGTGACACGATCGTAAAAACATGGGGCAAAATTGCCCGATGTGGACGAAATTGCACGATCGATGTGTGACAGGGGCACATCGATCGCCTGACTTAGAAGGGAAAACTGTACGTTAACGAAAATTAACGAAAGTGTGTAACCACCTAAACACAGAATCTAGGCAGGATCGATGTTCTACTTGTGACGCGTCCTAAAATCTTGACGTTTTTCATTCAATATTTTTCTCATACGAAGCTCGCGTCGAATTCCTCTGGAAGTATGTTTCTTCGTGTATATTTTTAAGAGACACATCACTCAACGTGACAAAAAAAATAAAACCCACTCGGAAACGGATGCGGCTCGGGGAGGCATCAACCCTAAACTCCTTGCGGGTTCCCGTGTTTAGGGTTGATCCCTCCCGAAAAACCGTCCGGGTTCGCTAAGGGTTTTAGTTTTTTTATTCCCTAACAGTGCCCGGTAGCGTCGTCTAGTGCTTGGTGGCGCTATCGGCGTAAAGTTTCCTTTCAATCCGTCACGACGCGTAAGAACCTCTGACAAGTAAAAACAATTTCACGATTATGGGAATTCCAGTAATTTACTCTAAATGTCTAGGTTCGACTACCCGGCCCTAATATGGACACCCATCTGCTATTTTCCGGCCCCAATATGATCTTTGCCCCCCATCAAAATCATCAGCGGGGAGGGGTTGGCTTGGCAAGGGGAAGAAGGGGGGGGGCTGGGGTTGCGGGGGTGAATCAGCGCGGGGTTTGGGCTTCAGTTGTGGTCGGCTGGCAGGCAAACATCAGGCTCTGGCAACGCAACAAGAGGCGAGGGAATTTGAGTTGGGCGTGCGTGCGTGCAAGGGGTCGATTCGATGGGAGGGAGCAAGCAAGGCAGGGAGCAACTAGACCAGGAGAAGCCACCCTTCGGGGAGCTTTTTTGACCTCGCGCAAATCCGTTGATGTTCTCGGCGCGCACAACAGCCGTTGTGCTTGTGCTTTCTTCGCTACACCGCATTCAACCGTTTTGATTTCCACGTTATATGTCACTCGTTGCCCATGTTTTACGACCTCGCTTCCCGTCTTGACAAGCCTTAGCACCGCTCTTCCCGATTATTGCACTTCGGGTCGTTTTCAGACACTGCTCCTGCGCGCACGCCTGCTAAATATCTAGCCGCGTTTCATTCCCGCTCTTCTTCGCACGGGTGAGAGCGACAGCCGCGCGACGTTCGCAGATCGATATTTTCTTGCATGATCGTCGCAACGCAACTATGCTTCTGTTAGGGAACACAGGGCTCGCTTTTCTTGTTGCTTCGGGCTCGCGGTTCGAGCGAGATCGCAAGGCGCAGAGCTATCTTTTCCGGCATCTCTTCACACATCGTTTCCGCCTCCCGCTTTTTACGCTGCCTCGACATATGTAACACCTCACACCACACCCCCAACGCCTTCGCACCCGCTGCCCCCTTTCCCCGTTCTCCGTCTACCCTTCTGTTCCCATCCACCCTCCCATGCCGCCGTCCCCACGTTCTCGCTTCGTGACAACCACTGCCACCGTCTCTCCATGTCGTCTTGCCCCTCCTTCGGGAGGCCCACAGCGTGACATGCGGCCGTAGTAGTAGTAGTCGCCCTGGAGCGTCGCCCTGTAGAAGCTATAGCAGTCGCCATCGCCATCGCCATCGCTATCGCCATCGCCATCGCCATCGCTATCGCCATCGCCACGCCTGTGCCATCGCCTATCGCCAATACTGATCGTGTGTCGTCCTCATCTCGCAATAAGCAACGCCGCCGCTGTCACCGCCGCCGCCGCCGCCGCCTCTTACGCGCCATGCAGTGCGCCCGCGCGCTTGCAGCTTGAGTTTGGTTCAATCGAACCTGGGATTGATTGGTGTCTGGTTTCGGGCTTACTTTCTCGCCGACCGCCGCACGGTTCGGCAACGGCTCGGTTGCGACGCTAGCCTGGGGAGGGACTCGGGTGGCTTGCGACGACAGGCGACAGACGATAGGCGACGTTGGCCGAAGCAGTAGCCCCCAGTCCCGCCACGTCGAATTCGCCTGCGCGCGTTCGCTAGAGCGGCGTCTTTCGAGGCGCTATTTCCGGTGCTGCGGAAGCGCGCGCCCGCCCCCACGCCCCCCCTGCGCGCGGACGATGGGGGGAGGCGCGCGGGAGGCTGCGGATGGGGGGGGGGGATTGGCGGTTGCGCGGAGCGGTGACGGTTCGCGGGCGGGGAGTGCTGACGTATTTGCAGAAAGCAGCGGGTTTAAAGACAGGAGGGAAGCGCGAGGCGCAGTGGAACGCGGGGGTTTTGGGGTCGCCGGGTTAGCACTGTGTGCGGGGAGGGGGGATGGGATGAAGGATGAAGGGCAGGAGGAGGAGCGTAATCTAGAGCGAGAGGATAAGGAGGATGAAGGGGCTGTTTGCGACGGGCGGGAAGAAGAAGCGGTGGGAAGGGAGGAAGGGCGAGGGGCGCTTGTGCGGGGCTGCGGCGGAAGCAGGTTGGCGGAAGGTAGTACGGCGGACGAGGGGGAGTGGGGGAGTGAGTACCCTGGCGGGGGAGGTGCCTCAAGAGATAGTCACGAAATGGAGACAGTGGTAGAAGGGGCGTGGGGAGGGCAAGGGGACGGGCGGGATGCAGAGAGGAGAGGCGGGGGTAACGATAGGGAGGCTGACGAGGCTGCGTCTGGCTCACTTCCTGCCGCCTCTCCTGCCGCTGCTGCCGCCTCTCCTGCCGCTGCTGCCGCTGCTCCTGCCGCTGCTGCCGCTGCTCCTGCCGCTGCTGCCGCTGCTCCTGCCGCTGCTGCCGCTGGTGATGGAGGTGGTGTTGCGGAAGAGACAGCGGTAGCTCCAGCAGCAGCTGTGTCTGTGGCGGCGGTGGCAGCGAGTGCAGAAGCTTCGGCGGCCAGCGCATGTGCGGAGGCGAGTTCAGTGGCGGCTGTGGTAGTGGCGACGGACACAGGCGCAGGACAAGCGGAGGACGAGCACGAGCGAGAGAGGGAACGAGGACGGGAGAGGGAGAGGGAAAGGGAGAGGGAAAGAGAGAGGGAAGGAGAGAGCGGGAGGGAGAGCAGGCGTGAGAGAGCGAAGGAGACGGAAACGGAGAGGGAGAGGGGAGGGGAGAGGGGTGCAGCTGGCAAGAGAGCGAGGGCGTTGCCAGGAGGCCTGTGGGGAGAGGCGCAATCGCAGGCTCACCATGGG